GCTGAACTAGAACATTGGCGCAACACAGTTTGATCACTTCAACATTCATTCAATTCTACGATACCATGCTCTATCAGAGTCCACAGGTGCACTAAAAAAAAATACTGTCCATTTCAGCTGAGTACACCGTCTTCCACTCTTTGGTAGGTATTTAATGCAAGTTTTAATATTCCTGATGCATCAGTTTGGTTTGTGGTATCAGATCTGACCCAAAAGTAACAACAAAAAAATAAAAATAAATGATTTGAGATCTCAAAAAAACAAAAATAGAAATCCTCAGAGCAGATTGGGAATCTGTTTTTCCCCTACCAGCCTCTAATGTACTTATCTTCTTGCTTAGTTGTGCAACAGGACTTCCTACTTCATTTTCTACTCTGGTTAGAGCCTGTTTGTGCTGTGCTCTGAAGGGAGCAGTACACACCATTGTAGGAAATCTTCAATTTCTTAGCGATTTCTCGCATGGAATAGCCTTCATTTCTGAGCCAATGAGCAAACACAGTGTACTATTAGAACACTGGAGTGATAATTGCTGGAAATGGGCCACTATACACCTATGTAGATATTGCACCAAAAACCAGACATTTGCAGCTAGAATAGTTATTTATCACATTAGAAATGTATAGAGTGTATTTCTTTAAAGTTAAGACTAGTTTAAAGTTATCTTCATTGAAAAGTACAGTGCTTTTCCTTCAAAAATAGGGACATTTCAATGTGACCCCAAACTTTTGAATGGTAGTGTATATGGATGTATATATGAATGTATATATGAATATTACAATATATATAATATTACAATATTGCAATGCTGAGAAAAAACATTTTATTGGGTTTAGAAATGGAGAATATTACATTGAAAGGTTCAACACTATAAACTGTCCATGATGTTGAAACCAGGTCTGGACCAGAGCAGATCACTGGAAAGACATTGACCCCGATGTCAATGTTTTTTTTGCATCTGGTGCATTTGTTAACACCAATTTTACAAAAGAGAAAATGCTACATCAAGTGCAGATATAAAACATCAGATGCACAATGAGCTTTGATTGAATTAAAAGGGTTTTTTCTCCCATTACACTTATTTTGTGCCTTGACACAAAATATATCATTTTCTATTTTTTGGTGGTTATATATGTAGACCTGACATTTGATGCACAAAGAACTTTATGCTTCATTTACTCTACTACTAAGAATACAAGTAACAAAATGAAGATAGAAGTCCCACCAAAAAACACTTGACCGTATGATTATCCTGGATATGAGCTACAAGTGCAAAGTTAGGTAGAAACACACTACACACCACACGTTATGGTTTACCATTCCCCCCTCATCAAACTCTAAAGAGCATGTTTGTGCAACAGGTACAATAGTTTAATGGTTTTCACAGGAAGTCTGATCTTCAGTGATGTGAAATAAAAGCATCAGTGAAGAAACTAACATACAAGATCAGTTTTTAAGAATTGAAACAGTGGGGAGGGGGTAAAGCCTATTTCAATCCCAACTTGCTTGTCTACTTTGCTCTTTCTCTACTCTGTTTTCTTTTAGATGACATTCAACTAAAGATATTGCTAAAAAAAATCTGTGAAAAAGAACGGAAACACTCAGAGCTTTGAAGAATTTATTTAGTTGTCTGAAAAATAATTAAAACATTAAATATACTATTTATTGCAAACCGCTCGCAAATTAACCTGCCATTAAATAACATTATTATAACTAACATTTTACCAGTAAAATACTAATTAAGCCATATGACTCAAGCATGAAGGTAATACTTGCATCTTAAACTTCAAACAGCAACTAACCACTTCCTTTTCTCAGCACCTCCTCTGCAGCAACATTTAAAGCAGACAACAAAGTTCCAGCCTGTCTCTCACTGTCTGATGGTCATCATGTTCAGCCTGAAACAAGCTGCTCTGCTCTTCATTCAGTTCTTTAATACAGGCTGCATCTTTGCAGGTACAGAGCAGAATCATGCTTGTGATCAGTGATCTTTAAACTAAGATGTTGTCTCATTTGTTTATTTGTTTTCTTCCATTTCAGTGCCTGTCATAAAAGACCACAGAGATGTTCTGGTATCAAGAGGAGATTCAGTTTTATTCATCTGCAACATATCCAACTTAGACACAAAGTTTATCCAATGGACCAAAGACAGACCTTATTTTATTTACTCCTTCTACTTTAATCAAACATTTTCAAATTTCTCCTCTAACAGACTGAGAATAGAAACAAACATGCAGCATACTCTTAATATTATTAGTGTTCAGCATGATGATGCTGGACTTTATACATGCAGCATAACTAACCAAAAAGGCATTACCAGTATGACATGGAACTTAACAGTACTGGAGACCCAAAACGGTACGTAGATCAGTTACTGAACACTTCTGCAATACATACTATGATTGTTAAAGGTTAAACTGTGTGCTGTGTTGATGATCTGTTTATTTCCAGATATCCCTTTCTCACGTTACGTTACATTCTCACTACCACCTGCCCTGGGGTTGCTTTTATGTTGCACTGCATTAGCTGTCTGCCTCTGTAGGTGAGTTATATCTAATTCACTGCTTGCTGTTTGGTTGAAGAGCTGCAGCTCAGGAGTTGATCATGTTTACTATAACATTCAGTTATGTTGCATAGTGTGTCACATTAGTTCTATATATAGGCTAATTCATCTCTGATTTATTTGACCCCCTTCCATAATTATGAATAGGATGCAGATATGATTGAAATATTTTTTACAGCCAAAAAAACAGGATTTAAACATTAAATCTTTCCACATCGCTGGAAATGATGTTGATTTATTTTAGAATATGAATAATTAAAATGCATTTGGATAAGATGCAATAACGTGACCATGAAAGGAATGTAATCTAGAGGGAGATTATAAAAGCATGAAGAGAGTCACAGAAACCAGTGGAAAATATTTTACTATAAATTCTTATTTTGTTTTTTTATGATTTTTTGACAATTCTCCTCCTTCAAAACACACTGAAATTTGACTATTAACATCCTAATTATTATTGTTAATTATTTTACAGTTTTTATAGCACAGATGCACAGCTCTTGTAGTTATAAGAAAGAGCTGCATTAATCAGAGACCATAGAGGTGAAAACATGTCATTGTAATTATCTTATTAGACACATGGCAACGTTAGACTGCAGATTAATAAAGCTTGTGGGCAGGGATTGGTGGTTTTTCATTATATAGTACATGAAATTTCTGACAGAGAATACATCTATTTAATCCAACAGTCTTAAATGTTTAGTCTTTAAAAAAGACTTATTTTGCAAACAGATATGTTTTTAAGTCTCCGATATACAGGTAAAAGCCAGTAAATTAGAATATTTAGAAAAACTTGATTTATTTCAGTAATTGCATTCAAAATGTGTAACTTGTACATTATATTTATTCATTGCACACAGACTGATGCATTCTGTTTATTTCATTTAATTTTGATGATTTGAAGTGGCAACAAATGAAAATCCAAAATTCTGTGTGTCACAAAATTAGAATATT